GTTCTAGAAAACCCACTTCCCGATGCTCCTGAAACCTGAAACTTTTTTTGCAGTCGATTTGGTCAACGTCTAGACGCCCTGAAAAATTTCAGATCTCTAACTCAATTTTAACATGGTTTTTAAGGCACCTGAATATGGCGATTTTGGGTTTTTTACCGAATTTCGTATAACAGTGCTGGCGAGTATTTTTTGCAAATTTCTTAAAAATCTCAACATAACTATTTTTTATTCCTGTCATCTTTGACATCAAATTAGAATGTTTTGAACTAAAAATAAATCTGTTGAACGACTTCCGATGAGTCTTAATGCCTGGAAAACTCCTGCCGGAGGCGGCGGCGGCCTTCGGCCGCCGCCTCCGGCCGGATCAGTGCACGCTTCGCGTGCACAAAAGAGGCTTGTAACGTGTACCAAACGGGGTATAATAGTAAAGGGGGTATAATAGTAAATGGGGAACATAGTATACCCACAATAAATGCAACGGTCGTGCTTGCCAGCACTGTGATTTGACCAAAACCCATAATCATGGGTAGAGTGGACCGCTGCCAGTGTCTCTCTTTCCCAAACAAAAGGAAATGATATTAATTTGATTGACCGTTCTCAAATGCAAAATGATACCGAGAATGAAATCGGTCGCTCGCTTTTCCCATTCATTCACGGCTTTCGAATTGTAATAAGTTTCGATTGATTACATCAATCAGATGCTGTAAAAATCTCTTTGGGTTGCGTTCGGGTCGATACCTAGTATTTCGGGGTAAGGGTGGTAGTTACTACTACTGAAGTTTATTGAATCTTTATTGCCGAGTACAGCTGCTTTTGGGTAGTTTTTCTTAGTCTATTACAATTGTAAATGAATGGGAAAAGCGAGCGACCGATTTCATTCTCGGTATCATTTTGCATTTGAGAACGGTCAATCAAATTAATATCATTTCCTTTTGTTTGGGAAAGAGAGACACTGGCAGCGGTCCACTCTACCCATGATTATGGGTTTTGGTAAAATATCATCTCTTTTTGATTATAATGTCAGGGTACTTTATAAAGTCGAAATATAAACTGATATCTTCATTAATAAGGAGGAAGTTTCAACGATTTCGAAATTTTTCCTTTAAAAACATTTCCTTGTGTTTAGGTAAGCATATCGGTCGATCACTGACTGAATATGCCACTTCATACTCATTCAAGTTGGCATTAAATTCATATATAATGACATTAAACTGTCGTGGCAAAGCAGAATTTGTTGGAAATCACGAATGAGCAAAATTCTCACCTTTCGCGCGTGCAAACTTTGAGCGGACGTTGCGTGCGCATCCAATATTGAATCGCCGTAAATTTTTGCATGTAATTGTTTTATATATAGTTTGATAAGCATGCAAAGTTTCAAAGTATTTCAAGAAGAATTGTAATCACAACGGCACTCTAAAGTTGACAGAAAATGACGAAAACAGCAATTTTCAGTGATTTTAGCGATTTTCTATCAATTTGGGCGTGTCCCCACGTGTGCAACTTTTCGATTTTTAACTTTAAAACTAGCCTAATGCACAATTTATACCTATAGGAAGCAGAACTGAGCTCCACAACTCAAGGCATGGCCCAACACCAGAGAATACTAAATCGCAAAATTGACGTTTTTATAAAAAAATTCTTCAAAAAAGCACAAACTTCAATGACGAATATCTTTATGAAGGAGCAAGCTAGAAAAACTTTCCGGTAGATTTTCAGAATGCTTAAACAATTATCTAAGGTAAAAATTTCCTCAGATTTTGAATACAATTACTTTTTAATGGTGTAAAATCATTTTTAAAAGTTATTACTTTGTCAAAAATCAAGTTTTAAAAACGGTTAACTTGATGACGTCATCAAAGGGTGTTCATGACGTCAAATAATTTGTTTATACAATGTAAACTAAAGTGTAAACAATTATTTTCAAGACCTGTGGTCGGAAATGGCTGTATCTTTTATACTTTTGAATCTATGGACAATTAAATACAGGCTACAATTGACTGGCAAAGCGTCTATCCCTGAATATATGTATATGTATATGTATGTATGTATGTATCACGACAATCTGTCGTAAAACAGGGGTTCTAGAAAACCCACTTCCCGATGGTCCTGAAACCTGAAACTTTTTTTGCAGTCGATTTGGTCAACGTCTAGACGCCCTGAAAAATTTCAGATCTCCAACTCAATTTTAACATGGTTTTTAAAGCACCTGAATATGGCGATTTTGGGTTTTTACCGAATTTCGTATAACAGTGCTGGCGAGTATTTTATGCAAATTTCTTAAAATCTCAACATAACTATTTTTTATTCCTGTCATCTTTGGCATCAAATTAGAATGTTTTGAACTAAAATAAATCTGCTGAACGACTTCCGATGAGTCTTAATGTCTGAAAAACACCTGCCGCCTCCGGCCGGAGTGCACGCTTCGCGTGCACGAAAGAGGCTTGTAACGTGTACCAAAGAGGATATAATAGCAAAGGGGGTATAATAGTAAAGGGGGTATAATAGTAAATGGGGTACATAGTATACCCACAATAAATGCAACGGTCGTGCTTGCCAGCACTGTGATCGAATAGTTTATCAGTGATAAGGGACCAAATAGAAGAAATAATGACACAAAGGAAAGGATCACGCTATTCAAATGAGACCATCGTTAAACAAACACCAGGTCATTACATTCGTGGACCGAAAATCAACATACATGTTTTTGAGAACAAAGATGTTGATTTGATAGGCACTTACCTAGATAAAGAATTAGACAAGCTGCAGCGGGAAAATGTTCTTACACAGTTAAATACAGCTGTACTACGTATGTGTGCGACTACAGAAACCACATGGAAAACACTTAATGATATGGTTAAAAAAAGAGTAGACAAATATAGGTGTGAACGGTCTGTTGATAACATATCTTTGTTATATGGCCGACAAACTTCTTCAGGAGAATGGCCAGCTGTCATTGATATAATTGAATTTCAAGGTTTAGATAACCTGCCTGAACGTCGAGCTAATAGCTTAACTGCATACCTGGACAGTTGTGAGTGTTGCAGGGCTGGCTTTCAGAAGGCGATCCTGAGCAGGATGCCTCCTCCATAAGCTGGAGATGGATTGGTGCAGGTTCTCGATCTTGTTTGTCTTCCATTTCCACAAGGTTTAGTACAAGTTGTCCAAGTAGAATATGAAGTCCAACCACCATTAACTGAACAGTTTTCAGATTTTCACTTCAACTGTCAAATCGAATTATTTCCCAAATAAATGCTCTGAGACTTTATGGATTGAAGCGATAGCAAGACAAAGTTATGTTTATGCACGGTTCATGCATACTGTTGTGTGTCTGTAAATGGGCACAATTAATTCAAGAATTACACAAATTAGTCATGAATATTGCGCAGGGAGTGTTTGTAACGTAAGGGCCCGAACCTCTTTTTGCAGCGTGTATTTAAACTGTGCTGTAACATCATTATTTACAAATTTAAGGTTTTTTTAATGAATTCTACCCTGATTTTCAAAATAATTACTGTTTAGACCCTTTAAATATCTAATGTATTGAATCACTTTGTATATAGTTGGGATGTTTGTTATTTTGATCAAGTTTAGGTGGCATGTTTTCAATGTATAACTTATGTTTAACTACATACCTGGACAGTTGTGAGTGTTGCAGTACTGGCTCTGTGATGGCAATCCTGAACAAGATGCTCCTCCGTAAGCCTGGAATGGGATTTGTGCAGGTTCTGGATCTTCTTCGTTTCCTTTTTCACGAAGGGATTCGACAAGGTTGTCCAAGTAGAATATAAGCCATACCAACCATTAACTGAACAAGTTTTTCAGATTTTTCTCTCTGTAAAACTGTCCTAATCGAATTATTTCCACACCCAAACTGTACTGTAACATCATTATTTACAAATTTAAGGGAGGGTTTTTATGAATTCTACCCTTTCAAAATAATTACTGTTTAGACCCTTTAAATATCTAGTGTATTGAATCGCTTTGTATTATACAAATTGTATATAGTTGGGATGTTTGTTATTTGGATCAAGTTTAGGTGGCATGTTTTATTTGTAGAACTTATTTTACTGTATTTCTGTATACCTGGACAATATTGGGTGATGCAGGTCTGGCTCTGTGATGGCGATCCTGAACAATATGCTCCTCCGTTAGATGGAGATGGATTGGTGCAGGTTCTGGATCTTGTTTGTGTTCCTTCTCCACAACTTTTCGTACAAGTTGTCCAAGCAGAATACGAAGTCCAACCACCATCAACTGAATAGTTTTTAGATTTCCCCTAAACGGCTGAATTATTTCCAAAAGATAAATAGCTTATTTTATAGTGAAAAGTGACAGCGAGAAAACGATCTGTGTGTGTTATAGTATATAATAATGCTTATCATTATTATCTTATTATGTATTTGGAAGAGCATTTACAATTATTTTAAAGTTAATATAATACTGCGGGTTATAGTATATAATATAAATGCTTATCATTATTATCTTATTATGTATTTGGAAGAGCATTTACAATTATTTTAAAGTGATTTGATTTTTGTATAGTACCTAGGCCTGTTAACTTTAAACCCACCTTTTAGTTAAAATTCTGATTTTTTACAACAATTTTCCAGGTATCTTATTTCGACAGAAGGACTTAGGGGCGGGAGGAGGGGGTACAGCCTGATTTTATTTTGAAAATTGATTTCTAGATAGAAATTTATGGCCCCGGACCAAACTTTTGAATGCTGGCTTACATAATTGGTGAACAATCCTTTGATGAAAAAGGCGAGAGCTCAACTGTAAAATTTCTTTCTGTGTATTTCATGAAGATATTGAAGAAGCATGTTTAGCTGTAGAAGTGTAAGATACGAGATTATAAGATTATTATATGGATGTTACACTGGGAGGGTGTGACAAATAAATTTAATAATGATTCAACTTTTACTCACCAACTTCACTACACTGAAGGAACACATCTTCATAATGACTGCAATTGTCGATTTCACTGTAGGAACATGAACTCATTCACCACTCTGGGAACATATAACATCATCCAGTTTAATTTCGTACTCCTTTTTGGTGCTGATCCACTCCAACTCAGGTCTACCATTAGCCCAGCTAATTTGACCACTGTATCCCATTGCACGACAAATAGCATTAGCAGAGTTATCACTGAATCCATCGTCGCACACTGTTCCGTTATTGTATAGAAGTAACCCTAAAACTCCGGCTCCCACAGTATTACTGTTCTCATCTATCAGTTCAAATTCTGAAATTTTAATTTGTTATACCACGGATGTTATTCACTCGAATCTTTTGTGTAAGTTGATAATTTAGGTATCAGCTTTTTAATGATATGTGATATACGGTTCCTTTTTAAGAGTCTCATCTGACATATTATATTATGTTATTTATTGTTTAAACTTAAATATTTCTTTCTCTAAATTTGATTTACAAAGTTGCAGTTACTAAATTCTATTTAGGCTCTTTAGCTGATCATTTGGTATAACCTACCACATGTTGTGAGATGCACAACACCCATACGATATTTTATAAGAACTATCTGATACGTTTGTAATATCATTGACCTACATCATTGTACTACGCTATCATTGGACCTATATCAATGAAAAAAAGAAATTTTCAATGAAATAATAAATTTAATTTTAGCACATTTTACAGAATAAAAAGATGTAAACACTTCTTAAGTATATATGACATTTGGTGTAATGACTTTCTGTCCTTGACTGCAGTTTGATTTTGAAAAGGACAGGATAAGTACGGGGCAAGGAATGTGCGTGCCTGAAAGCTTTTGCACACCCCGAAACGTTAGTTCAGATGAGTTTTTAGAAACAAGGCTCGTATTAGGACCAGAAAAAAATATTGTAGCAGACATTAGGGGTTCGGTTTATAGTTGTTGCTATGAATTGCAGTCTTGTTGTGACAAAAAGTCTACACTATAATTTTCTTAAATTCATATTGTATAATTCAAGGATATAAAATGCAACTTTATAGTGGATACTACGTATTGAATAGCTGTCGAAAGATCATGGCCTTATGTCAATGGTTATAATAAGCTATCATTGTACTATTCTATCATTGGACCTATATCATTGTAGTATACTATCATTGGACCTATATCATTGTACTATATGCTATCATTGGACCTATATCATTGTAGTATACTATCGTTGGACCTACATCATTGTACTATGCTATCATTGGACCTACATCATTGTACTATGCTATCATTGGACCTATATCATTGTACTATACTATCATTGGACCTATATCATTGTACTATATGCCTATCATAGGGATCCGTTCATCATTGTACTATGCTATCATTGGACCTACATCATTGTACTATATGCAATCATTGGACCTACATCATTGTACTATGCTATCATTGGACTTACATCATTGTATTATACAATCATTGGACCTACATCATTGTACTATACTATCATTGGACCTTTATCATTGTACTATACTATCATTGGACCTTCATTATTGTACTATACTATCATTGGACCTACGTCATTGTATTATACTATCATTGGACCTACATCATTGTACTATACTATCATTGGATCTATATCATTGTACTATACTATCATTGGACTTACATCATTGTATTATACTATCATTGGACCTACATCATTGTACTATACTTTCATTGGACCTATATCATTGTACTGTGCTATCATTGGACCTACGTCATTGTACTATACTATCATTGGACCTACGTCATTGTACTATGGTTAAATCCGGGAAATTAAACTACAATATAAAAGTCAGTTACTTACTTGTGCTGTCCACTATAAGCTCCACTACTAGGATCAATTTAACAAAAAAGAAGAGTGTTAAAAGTAACATTGAAAGCTGGGAAGCAATATTTCTCAAGCTTCAGTACACATCATAAGTATAGTAGGTCGATACAATATTATACTGTTGATGATTCAGCAAAAGGAAGTTCTCACAGCATGAGCAATAGCTGTTCTTCTTCAAATGTATTTGTTGAGTAGATCCCTTTGCTTACCAGGTTAATATCAAGTTTCCTTCAGATTATTCTATACATTGTTATGTATGGAGAATAGCTACTCCACTCGGCTTTCTAGTCTAACTTATAAAAGGAAAGATCCTCTTTGTATGTATGTATGTACGACCGCCCACGTGCAAATTATATGAGAAATAGGAAGTTAACAGGAGATATAATCAAAGGTTGCATAGCAACGTATTGATGCACCATGCGCACCGGGCTAATGATTTTGGACGCATTTTTTGGGGGTGTGTCTAGTCCTTTGGGAGGATACCGAGAGAATCAGAATGTTAATAGAGGTGATGGAAAGTGTTATGAGGGGAGATGTGCCATAAATGAAAAAAACAAATGATACTTGTTTTGATCCTTGTCCAGATACCATGAGTAAGGATGTGATAAATATTCTTATGAATTCACTGCCAAAAGTTTGTAAAACTAATTTCAGTTCCTTATACTTTCCTATGCAGATAGGAGCATTAACCATGTTTAACAATTGAATAGGAAAAAAGATTTACTTTGGAGACAGCCAGTCAGAGCTTGCGTTGCCTGAGCTGGAAATTCTGGAGTTTTGGGACATAATGAATTGTGATGGAGAAAAAGGCTGCTCACAAAACATTTGATCCTAGAATTAAATCCTTGTCTTGATTTCCTGAGAAAGGATTTGGTAGTAGGTATTTAAGTTTTGTCACGTCTCCCTGCTAAGAAGTTTGTAAAATAAAAATCCAAAATTTCGTACCCCGAATTAAATATTGGGCAATTTGGTAATCTAGCTAGGCACACTTGGGGCACAGTTGGGGCACAAAATTGTATTCCCTGGGGCACAGTTGAGGCACACTTTGGGCACATTTGGGGCACACTTGGGGCACACTTGGGTCACACTTGGGGCTGGCACTTGGGGCACACTGGGGCACACTTGGGGCACACTTGGGGCACACATGGGCACACTTGGGCAGATGCAGGTTGGCACTTTCAGCTGAGCACACTTGGGACACACTTGGGGCACAGTTGAGCAAAAAATGACCTGAACACAGTTTTAGTAAACAAACACACTTGCGCACACTTGGGGCACAAAGGAAACTTGGGGCACACTTGGGGCAATACAGTTGGGGACCAATCGGGGCACACTTGGGGCACAAATGACTAAGGTAAACAATCTTCTGGTGTAATAATAGATATGGAAGGACACGTGCAGACTCTGAAGCCCTAGAGATAGCCCTCGTGAGTTCATGTGGGCGAAAGCGTCATAACACCTCACCTGAATCGGACTCATCGTGATAATAGCCTTAATAGCGAAATCCAAGCTTATGAGAAGAGTATTATCCTGAATAGTAGAATGTTTTTAATTAAGTTAAAAATTACTTATACGTTGTTACTTATTATTACACCAGAAGATTGTTCACCTTAGTTATGGGTTGCCCCACGTGTGCCCCCGATTGGTCCCCAACTGTATCTGCCCCAAGAGTGGTGCCCCAAGTAAACTTTGCGCCCCAAGTGTGCCCAAGTGTGTTAAGTTACTAAAACTGTGCTTCAGGCATTTGTAAAATGCCTAAACTGTGCCCCAAGTGTGCCCCAGCTGTGCCCAACTGTGTCCTGCCCCATGTGGCCCCAAGTAACTTTTTGGCTCCCAAGTGTGCCCTAAGTGGGCCCCATGTTGCCCCAGGAATACAATTTGTGCCCAAGTGTGCCCCAAGTGTGGCCCCAAAGTGTGCCTCGCTAGATTACCATATTGCGAATTATTGCCTTTCATAAATTAGCCAATTATTAATGTTAATTATTAGTCGGTTACTATTAGTCTCTAATATAATTCGAAAGATTATTTTTGTCTGCCTGTCTGTATGTATGTACGACCGCCCACGTGCAAATTAGCGTATTTAGTAGTAAACTTAGCGTTTTGAACAATCTACCCTGTTCATCAAACCCATATGTTCTGCGCGGAGTTCCCTACGGATATTTATAGTCGACAGCTGAAATTCAAAGAGTGCAAGATGTTCAGCTCGATAAAATACTGGTAGAAATTAATTCGTATGCCCTAAAATTACTTCGTCTAATCGTCCCATTACTGAGGTTAAATATCGTGTCCTGCTTCTCAATGTGATTATAAAATATATACACATAATATAGGCAATGACCCTATAAAAATCAACCCTTGACGAATCAAAAAATCCCTTAACAATCATAAAAATTTTACCCTTGCCTTGTGGCTCCACGTTAGAGATCAGACTGTTTATATCAACAATGTTTTCTCGCACCTCTGTCTCCACGGAGAGAAATCACTGTTGTTCTGAGGATTTCACAAGGTTAGATATCTCCCAACATAACTTTCTATACACCTCATCGAAAATTTGGAATGATCTCATCCCCTATGTATTCGAAATATGTGAGAAAAGACAATTTTATTATTTATCACCAATTCAATACACAATCAATTGTATTTACTAATAATACACGCTGTTAGAGTGGGTCTGACCACACGTCCAAAGACTTATTTTTGACTGTAGAATCGATTAATAGTGGTTAGAAGTGTTTAAAATGGAGGTTACCTGGTCTAATTTGGAAAAATTGTTTTTTGGACCAAAAATGGCTTTATTTGAGGTTTTTCATAATTTACAGGCGCTATTAAACTTTTATTTGTAGGTTTATAACGTACCATGCTAAACGTGCGCCAAGTTGGACTCGTCGACAATCCTGTAATATTTTTAAAAAATATTTTACGAGTATCACCCGTTAAGCTTATACTAACTGCTACTAACTGCTATTAACTGCTATTAACTGCTATTAACTGCTGCAATTGCGCCCACGCATTGCGCGCGCGCCGTTTGCAGCAGTTAGTAGCAGTATAAAGTACACATTAGCAGTTAGTATCAGTTAGATAGCGGCAGTTAGTAGCAGAATTTCTTTGCCCTATCAACTATGGCACCCCTGTGCGCAGCGCATGCGGCATGCAGCGCGCAACTGCTGCAAATGGCGCGCGCTCGACAGCAGCTTCAGCAGTTAAGCAATGACTAAACTTGATTGACGATGTCGAAGCAAAGCAACGATCGACGATGTAAAGCGCCGAAGCAAGAATGCTAGTTTGCGCGGCTCGTCGAAATCCTCCAACGACTAAACCCACAGAGGGGGGGGGGGGGGGCTGAAACCAGGATTTCGATCAAATACTGCCATTTGTAGTCAAACGTCGCCGACAGTTGCTCTCGTCCAATGAAATCGCTGCATTTTGCAAGTCAGTATGCATAATTGAATTACATATATTCATATGCGGAGCTAGCTTGCCTTGCAAAATGCAGCGATTTCATTGGACGAGAGCAACTTTTGGCGACGTTTGACTACACATGGCAGCGTTTGGTCGAAAACCTGGTTTCAGCTGCCCCTGTTAACCCTAACCCGCTACACTGAGCTTCTAATCTGATCCCAACCCTAACACAATCCTTAACAGATTAACAAACGCATATGCTGAAACCCTAACGCTAACGAGAAATTAGACTAACTTCCTTATACGGCCGGTCGTATCACGTGATCGAGACAGTTTTTCGCTAATGTCTCGTAAGGGGAGCATTTTAACCTTTGCTTTAGTCATTTATGGGGGTGGGGTGATTAAATTAGGAATCAGCGTCCGAAAATATACATCGATTGAAATTGATTTCAACTGTCAGGGGGCCCTTTTATAACAATCTCGAAGATCGACTGTAGAGTGATTTAGCACGCTCGTCATCCTCGGTGCGGGAAATAAAAGAGGGTCTGAAAAATAAAATGGTAAAATTTCTGATCTTATTTTAGAATTTTCCCTTAGAAATAGGTCAAATAAAAGCATCTTTTAATATCAAATATATTCTATCAAAAATGAACATAATACAGTCTAATGACATCATGTACAATAATGTACATTGTAAAACATAATATACAACTAACAAACATCCGATCGTAACAAAATAGTGCATTGTTAATTATCAATTATCATAAAATAAGTTTCAAAGTTTAGGGTATAAATCAATGCTTAAGAGCATTGTTTGGTGTTGCTGACCAATCTTCAGCATTTCGAAAATCAGATCAGACACAAAACATAATTTTTCATTATCATTATCATCATCATCATCATCATCATCAAGAAGACAATAAATTACAAGCCAACAATTATTATAGTATATGCTGCAACTGGAAATATATATACGACTGAAACAATTAAGAATAGTGGAGCTGCTAAGTTTAAATTCTTATTGAGAGTTAGCTGGAAACAATGGAACATTAATGCAATAAATAGCAAGGTAAATAAGCTTCGCACAGCAAGTCAACTCAAAATTTGCCTTTACTGACAGCTTTATTAATTTTATCGATTCAAGAAGCTTAGTACAACAGGGTAATAGCAGTGACTTTTTGACGAGGACTGTTTGGGGAAGGTCGAAGGGGACTTAACTGCTTTGCCAGGGGGGGGATTAGACCCCGCCCAAAATCTCAAAATGAATTTTAGGGGCCATCCTAAAATAAGGTTTTAGAGGGGTGCTGGGGGGGAAAATGAGGCCTGAAAATGGGAAAACGCCCCCTTTTTAGATCCCATACAAAAGGACTTAACTTACCCCCCTATAAATGAAACTTATTTGGGTTGAAAATTTTAAAATTAAAACACTAACAAACCCCGTAAAAATTCATGTTTGAATCTATAAGCGGCGCTTAGAGCCTTTTGGGTTTGACACCGCTCTACAGCCACTTTTTCACCCTTCACCACCTACACTAAGGAAATAAACCCCCAAAATAGTTGCTCCTTTAATATAGACGCAGTAGGAAATCCCTTTTAGCAACCAATGGCAAACCAATTTTAAAGTTTTCCCCTTCGCAAAACAACCAAAACCCTTCCTAAGTTTAAAAAAAAAAGTTTTTGAAAAAGGAAGAGACGCCCCTCCTACGGGGGAAATGTTGGTTTCCAAAAGGGTTGAGAAAAATGTACCGGGGAAACAACTTAGAAAGGCTTTTGGAGATACCGACAATCACAATAATTTCCCGCCCCACCAACATCCAAATTCATCAGGACCATTAATGCTTTGTCCTCTCGAAGCCCACAATTTAATTCCTTGATTGCCAAAAAAACAGGAAAAAACCCCTTAAGGCGTGAAAAACCAAAAGAGAGGGCCGGGAAACACCTGAGCCACTTTGCACCCAAATTTTGGATCCGTTTAAAGACGAAAAAAACTTCAAAAAAAAATTTGACTATCTTAATTTGATTGTATATTATTATTTTAAATTTAATTTTAACTTTTTAAATAACAGAACTTTTTTCCCAAATTTATCGACATCAAAAAAAAAAAAAACGGGGTAGAAAAATTACCAACTTCAATTGGGAATGTTGGTATACAATTTAGCAATTTCAGTTAAAGATCATGCTCTTTGGGAAAACTTTACAATTTTTGGGACAGATTTTCGTTTTTTTTGGTACCCTTTTCCCCATGCGTTTCCCACATTTCGCTTTCACAGGATCGTTTTTACCTAATTGCCATTATGAGCTTTTACCAGTATGTTCTACCTTATTCAAACTTATTCGTTTAAACCTACTTAATCTTTTTTCCCAAAACACATGCACTGAACCACTCTAAAAAGGTTATTGGATAACATTATTATTATATTATATCATATATAATTATAATAATCTACATCGCAACAATACTACTTCAATCCCATCGACCAGGTAATAATAACACTGCACTGTCGATCACTGCTGCATAGAGATAGCTTCAGATGTAATTACACTACATTGGTACAAATTCCCCGCTGCAGATTTGTATCACACATCTCTGATACCTTATTACACATATTATTTATAACACTGCCTATGAAGTAAACTTAATTTGATAGATAATTTTAAACATTTCACTTACAATCCAAAGGAGAGAGCGGGTCATCTTCAGCGTTTATAATTAGCATGGGAATCTCAACATATGGCAACTTTTTAAAGGAATGCCCGTCAGAATAATATTCCTTCCAGTCCTTGAACCCAAACATTTTGGAGGTGAACCTGTCATCCCATTCCCACAGCGTCTCAGCCTGATTAGTATTATATATTATACATAATGATAATAATAAATTGAAGTTTATTTACTTAAGATAAAACTTATACTAAGCAGTGTTTAATCCAAACATCCCACAAATTTACTTGAATAATTATAGGTACATAATACATTATAAGTCATGGCAAATCACTTTAAATTGGCTGCATTGTTTTTTTTACCGTGTCTTAAAAATTACTGGATAAATTGGATCATTAAAAACAAATTAAAATAATACGTGAACCCTACACAATGATAAAATAACGTTAATGAATTCTGCCTTTTCTATTGATCAAACCTTCATAATGTGACGGTAGTTGAACGGAAGCCGTTTGTTTTGGTACAAATGTTTGTGATTTGAGACGATGGTTTTTAGCTTTGCCAGTAAATAGCGTTGGTATAAAATATGGTTGACCGGCTGAAATAGGATACAGGTTTAGTCAAAATTTAACAAGTACAGTAAACATTTAGACTGATTTAACAACCAGGTCATGGAGTCTACTGTCTAGACAGTAGACAATACTGCCCCCAGCCCTATATGCCCCCCCCCTCCGGCCCTATTTGCCCCAGCCCCCCCCGCCGGCCCTATATGCCCCCCCCCCCTGCCGGCCCTATATGCCCCCCGCCGGCCCTACATGCCCCCCCCCCCCGCCGGCCCTATATGCCCCTCCCCCCGCCGGGCCCTATATGCCCCCCCCACCGGCCCTATATGCCCCCCCCCCCCCCCCCCGCCGGCCCCTATATGCCCCCCCCCCGCCGGCCCCCAATAATGATGAGTATCCTATATGTCGAGGATCCTAGACAGTAGCCACCCATCATTATGATGACCCGTATAGACACAATTTCATCAGCTTTTCAAGATTATAATTGCGTGCCATTGAATGCGATTGTAATCACGAAAACGAACCTTGTTTATGCTCTCGTAGGTTCCGAATGAGTTCCAGGGTGATGACACGATACAGGCTGCTTTAACATTTGATTTGGATGCCTCACTCGATGTGACGTAGTGGGTGGTGATCATTCTGAAAGTAATGACGTCATTTAATTATTTAATTGTTGAACAAACCGTACTCTTAATAACTTTGATACAATAACTTTAATACAATAAGCATTCATTTATTTAACTCATTTTTCGATTTAGATGTCAAGTATATCCGTATTCTAGTGAGTATTCTAGTGAGTACTATTATGATGATCGTATTTAGGTTTGTAAGATTAATCACAAAAGACAGTTTGTTACAAGGAAGAAAGACTGTCATTCGTAATATATAATATAACGCTATATATATAATATAACGCTATATATAATATAACGCTATATATAATATAACGCTTTTCAGATGGACCGTATGGGTAACGCCAGCGGCGGAGAGACGACAACATCGCCCTCCGTAATGTTTACCTCAGCTACAGGACGATCCCTGTTTGCTACACTCCTCATCAGCTTCGCCACCTTTAACATACGTGGCCTCGGTTCTTGTGATGATCCAGACGACATCCACAGCAAACGGGAGCAACTGGGTACCGATTGTCTACGGTACGGCATAGATATCTGCGCTATTCAGGAGACTAAGGTTGTAAAACCGGATTCTTGCAGTCTTAGCAACGGATACAAACTATTATTGTTTGAGCAGAAAAATGGCCGGCACTATGGACTCGGTTTTGTTATGAGTCCCCGATTTATTGACTATGTGTATGCTGGAACAGTATCAGTGATCGAGTAAGCTTTTTTGGACCTAGAACTCCCTACAAAATCTGGAAAATTTATCAAATGTAAGGGTGGTCAATGTATATGGGCCACACAAGAAACTTGCAGAAAATGATCAACAACTGTTGATTAATTTTTATGGCCAAGTTAGGGACGCTCTAAACGTCCCTGCTAATGTTTGAGATATTTGTTTTGGGAGATTTTAATTCAAAGTTGGGAAAAATGACTGCTTCAGATAAGGACTTTGGTTTTGGTCGTTTCATGGGTAAAACATGGTATGGGTTTGCGCAACAATATGGGAGAAAAACTTGTTAGACTTGTTATCAGAATTTGACCTCTTTGCCTCCAACACTGGTTTTTATCATCCTGCCCGACATACGACCACCTACACTGGCTGGAGGAAGGGACTGGAGTGCCGGGCGAAATAGTAAAAAGAACGATCCTGGTCTATTCTCAGATCGATTTCATCCTGTGTCGAAAGTAGGTCGAAGCCATGCTACAAGATTCTAGATCTTATGCAGGCACCTTGACATACTCTGATCACAGATTTGTTGTCACTAGAGTAGATTTTAAGGACATCTGTTCTTTGCTATAAACGCCACTCCAAGTCATCCTTAAAGTTCAACACCCTCTGAACTCACTCGAACCCCCGCCATTCAGGTGAAATATCGTCAATCCTTAGATGATAACTTAAGTAACACTGTTCTGCTCTGGATCCAAATTCAGACTTGAATGGCTTACTTGAGTCCATAAAGGATGCTGCAAAATCGTCCAATTGGTGTCATCAGACACAGGAAACGTAATCGCAGCGACGATGATGAGGTGAAAAACTTATCTAGCCAGCGTTACTTGTTGAGACAGCAGCTTAATGATAACAGTCTTTAGACAGAACCTCACTTAGATCATCTATTAACTGCCTCACCAATCAGATCAAGCAGAGACTTTCTAACATACGATCAGCTGCTGCTGATGCTACCTGTAATACCATCAGTTCAACAACAGATAGTAAGAAAATGTTTGAAGCTGTTCGAACCCTGAACTTACCTAAAAGTAAAGCCCCTTCTAGTATTGGTGTTCATGATGAGCAAGGGTGCAATATTGCAACAGACACTGGTAAAGCTGCCGTAGTTGCTAAGTACCTTGAGCAACAACTTACTCGTGATGAAGCACCTTTAGAAACCTTTTGTAGGACCTCCTCGCCCACTAGTTAAGCCATTCACTAGTGAAGAAATCGGATCAGCTGCTAGAAGTCTCAAAAATGGTCGAGCTAATGGCCCAGATGGGATTCCTAATGAGCTTCTCAAGTATTCTACTGGATCAGTACACAGACGTTTTGCAGAACATTATCAATAGAAGCTTCGAGACCAATTCCTACCTTGACCCCATTGGACAGGCAAAACATTACCCCCTTACAGAAGCCAAATAAGCCCATTGGTCCAGTGAAGAATCTACGACCCCCTCACTCTCTCAAATGCTGTTAGAAAGATTCTTTCAGTGGCCAACCTTGAAGAGAATTGAGAATAAAGTCAATGCCTTCACTGGTCCATGGCAATGTGCTTACAAGCAGGGTAGATCATGTGCTGACATTGTATGGTGCCAGCGTGTGATGTTATCAGTTGTCCAGAGGAAGAGGTGGGAATACCATCGCATGGGGATCGACATGTCTAGTGCCTTTGACACTATACGACGATCTACCATCCTCGATCTTCTTGTTGAGTGTGGCTGTGATGATGATGAAGTCCGTTTGGTAAGACTTTTGCTTTCCAACACCAAGCTCAAAGTCAACATCAACGGTACACTGTCTGCTGAATTCCAGAGTTTTCTCGGTGCATTCCAAGGTGACTGTCCTGTCTGGATGCTTGTTCACACTTGTCTTAGCGGGTGCCTTGCGTGACCTCCGTAACAGGCTTGAAACTGCAACGAATAGGCCTAACCCACCTATCACCGATATTGGTCTTCCACTTGACAGTGAGTATGCTGATGATATCGACTTCAATGATGAAGATGAAGACAATCTGAGGGAGCTGTTGCCTATTGCAACAGAAGTCTTAAAGATTGGAATCTCTTCGTTAACGAAGACAAAACTGATTTCACTCATGTGTACTTAGCTGAAAAGGGAGCTAAAGACGATCAGGGTAAGCCAATTGCAGGGAACGAGCTCTGGAGAAAGAGTATCACGCTTGGCTCCATGCTTTTGTAGTGAGAGGACATCTCTAGAAGGATATGTCTGGATATGCCGCGTTTAACAAATACAAGAAAGCTTGGAACCATAAGATCCCTCTGAGCAAGAGGCTTCTGTTGTATGAGGCTCTGGTAGTATCCGTTTTAATGTACAATTCATCTTGCTGGGCTGCCCTAAATCAGTATGGAAAAACTAGATATTGCTCACAGACGTCGCGTCATCTGCGATCAATTTTGAATTACAAATACCCTCACATCATCTCCAACAAGAACTTGTATAAACGCTGCAATAGCGAACCATTGTCAGCTAAAGTGGCCTCGTAGTCGGGTGGAGGATGCTCGGACATGTACTGCGTGGGCCTACAGATGGCCCTGCCTATTCGTCGCTTGTTTTTGCTGTCAACACCTTACAGCTTCAAGGGCGGCGTGGAAGACCGCAGTCAAACCTTTTCTCACTGATTCTACACGACCTTAGTGTCCGAAAATTATCGTTAAATAATTTATGTGATTTGAACTATTTAACGTTAATTGCTCAGAATAGAGTTTAATGAGAAGTATGCAAATTGCATGACTTTTGTTTGAGAAAGATTAGGGGACAGAAATGTTTACTTTGTTTACTATCTGTTTCTTAGAGCTTTTGTTTATATATATATATAATAATATAACGCTATATATAATAATATAACGCTATATATAATAATATAACGCTATATATAATATAACGCTCGGAACATGAACGACACGATCCAATTTTCTCTAATAGTAATGGTGGCCCAGCAACAATTCATTAATTTCTTCCATTTCTTTCATTTTAGGTATCCTTTTTCTTGTGAGTGTGTCGTTCATATATATTTTGATTGTTGGGGACGAAGTCACTGAGTGGAGACTCTCACTTCGTCCCTAACAATTAAATATTTCTTTCATTTCTTTCAAAACATTTTCATTTCTTTCAAACCACATTATTCTCCTTACGGTCAAAATCTAAGCAGAGAAAACAATGCAGTCTTTATCTTTCTACAGTGGACAACACAATACTCCAATATATATAGGGGGAAAATAAAGTTACATTTTCTTAGCTCATCCGCCTTCCTAATCTGTGGGTTAAAGATTTACAACCATGACTATACTATACTAAACACATGCCTAACATACATTACACATTTTCATTACTTATTCAACTATATTCTAAACGGAAATTTACTAATGTTCCTTTTACATATTCAACTCTGCAAGATATTACAAGTTTATGGTTAACATTATTATATTTGGTTGTTGTAAAATACCCCCAAATTCCGACTTTGAGCGTACCAAACACTTGAAGTCAAAACAATGAACAGAACTACTTACTGACCTTATTTATAGAATAAAGAGCAATTTAAGTACCAAAATATTAAGTTATTAAGTTATTAAACTATAATGTACTAACCCGCCTAAAGATACAGCTACAATAATGATAGGCGCGTTAGCGTATCTCTCAGTCAGAGTACGCACTGCTAGACTCAAGTCCTCGGTGTTGCTGCCCGAGTACATTCGTGGAGTCTGAAAAAAAAATAATAGCTGTTATCAGTTGAAATATAACTAACTGAAGTGAAAACAAGAATAGCTGTTATCAGTTGAAATATTTAACTGAAGTTTGGGGATGAAGAGACAACCAGCGTGGTCACTGGTCAGCTAATTCATTAGGAGCTAGGAGCCATGTAATTATGATATAAAGTAAAGCATTTGATTGATATTCGCGTTGATCTTCGTCTAAAACTACCTACATACAATATAAAATTGTTTAGTAGGAGATGATTGGTTAATAATTGATAATTAAGATAATTAATTAAGTGATAATTACGACTGACGAGGAGGGTGGAGGAAGCACAGCCCCTGTTGTTGAACACCAAAGTTCTGAAAGAGAAATTCTCAGTTAGTTGGAAATATTTTTTAAATGCTTCGTGTCTTGAGGAGTTGGAGCGAAAACATATTTCGGTACCGAAATAAAATAATCTTTGGTGATTTTATTATTATGGTGGCACGATGTCTTTTGATAATTTGATATATCTGAAGTCAGGGTGAAGTCAGCAGTACAAGTACCGAGAACGTTTAACTGTTATCAAAATGTGTTTTAAAATTTAAAAAATAAGGGAAAATATGATACGGAGAATTTTGTTGGTAGCAAAATTTCTTTAAAAGAAACTTCCCGCTGACATTAAATTAATCCTAGATAGTAAAAGAAAACCCCAACCCCAAAAAAGGACAAAGTGAGTCTTAAAAAAGGGTATCACCCAGAAGGGTTCCACGTCTGTTTTTGTGTTTTTATTTCCACACTTTTAAAGGGAAAAAATCTCGTCATCTGATATTTTCCTACCTTACTACCAATACCACTAATCTTACTTGCTCAAATCCCTTTATCGGGCTAAAATTTTTGACGGGCTGAAAACTAATCATGAAAAAACCGACAGGGGACCTTCAGAAAGAAGAGAAAATTTGTTGGGGGTGAACAAAAGAATTGGGGTGACGGTCAGGTTAAAAATACGTGAGATTTTTTTAAAACCCCTTAGCGTTTCTGGTATAGGGGCAAAACCTTCACTTGGGTTTTTCAGCATCACGTGACCCGTGGTATTACATTGGGAAATTTTTCCGTGTATGGGGGTATAAGGTTCTATTAAAGGAATCAATAATTCTGCTGCTACCAGGACGGGATAGAAAGCTGGGTATGGGAGGTTCCATTGTGATAGGGCAAAGTCAGAGTGCCACTACTTTAGAAGCGATTATACTCATTCGGAGGGGAACTTTCAATTGAACATTTTTTCAAAACAGTGACAGACGAAGAGTTCGAGTGTCGAGTCTGGAAGTGCTCGGTTTTGAGGGAAATTTTGGTGAAGATACTTCCGAAAGGGACGACTCCTAACGACGCCCCCCCTTATCAAAGTGAAGAATTCCATCACATGTCCCTCTCATTTCATCGCAGCCTACTAAAACGCAGAAAACCAAATTTCCACTGGCTGAGGGGAGGAACGACAAAAACCCCTAATATTTGGGGCCTGGAACATTCTCACAGTACTGATTTTTTTAAAACCCGGTCATGTCATTTCCCTTTAAATTTAAAAACCTGTAACAGCCCATTTAAAAAAATTTTAAAACAAAATTGTAAAAACTATGTAAAAACAAAAATGCCTTTTTAACAATGCTTAACAAACTTAAAAATTTTAACAACTTGCTGTAACAAAAATGCCTTTTTTAACCACCTTAAACCTTTCCTTTAAAAAACTAAACTCAAAACAACTTTTACCCTTTTTAAAAATACTTTAAAAATTTTTAAACCAAAAAATCTGTAACAACTATTTTAACAACTATTTTGGGGAACAGCTCTGAAAAACAACATGACACTACTGTGAAAATTTAAAATTTTTTAAAAAAAAAAACTACTAAAATTTTCTATAAACAAAAAACCCCTAGCTCTTTTATTCTCTTCTTAACAATTCAGTAAAGTATTGAACTAAAATTTTTCATGAAATTATCCAGGATAACGAGCGGGTTTGGACGAACTAAAAACTATCTCAACGTTCTTTTCGGAATCTAAAGTCACATTTTAGCAACCCTGAATTTAAAAAAATCACTGAAACCACCGAAGAATGAAAAAATTCACCCAGGTGTTTTTTTTATCAAATTTTCATTAAGGTGACATTGTTTAATTACACCATCATCACTACTTCCAAAATTAAATGTCGCCATTTTCGACAGCTGCTTTATTGTCAATACCGAAACATAATTTAGTTACGACTTCCCCTGTTTTTGTTAGGTTGAAATAATAAATATATCGACTGGTCTGATGACTGATCCAGAAACGTTGTCGATAAAAAACATTTAGCTGAAATTTCTACTGAGATATTAAGAACTATCGTGTATGGAAATTAATGTACAACCAACCATTTGATGTTTATAAAACAAGTTTGTTTAGATTTCTATTTAAACTAAAATAACAAATTGTATACCTGCACTTGTTAGAATGTCCATTGAGCATGAGGTGTCTCACGTAGTTGTTATGGGAACCGCCTGAAACGGTTTTATATTAAAAATACTCGAACATTTTCGTTCCAAATACTTCGAACAATCTTCGTTAGAGACTGTTCACATTTACGTAGGGGACGGGGTTTGGATACGCTCATGTTGGTGTGATTAGTACGAATTAGCTACGTGTGAAGTGGTTTACTGAGGGAAGGTTTTAATTGGACAAAATATAGCTTTATCCTTAGTACGCGAACAATCCCTTACTAAGTTACAAGTAATACTCTGTTAAACATATCACAGCCGGGGATGCAGTAAGTCACAACGCGCGCTCTATCAGCTTAAATCTTACTTAAATTCCTCGTTAGAATGGTTATTTGATCAGAGCTGATTAATGAGCTGATATAAAATACCAGGGGACTGAATGAGAGACCCTGCAATATATTTCATAACAATATGTACATGCCCAGCATGTTAATACCTGTCAGATGTTAATACCTTCTAACATATTGTAGTGAATCAGTTAATAGAGTGAGATCCAGTACTGCTACAGGCCTATAACAGTGCTACTATTATGGGGCACCTTGATGAGATCTGATTGTTTTTTGCTTCGCACACACATTACATATTTATATCACAGAGTGCAGTTATCTGATGACAGAAGTAATCTGTTGGGCGTGTAGAGGAACTATTATTATATACATTACTAGAAATCCCGTGGTCACAGGGAGGAAGGTAATAGTATTCTTTCGTAGTAAGTTTTTATCGCATCTAAATATCCGTCACAACGAAGACACAGGCCCGATTAAAATTTTGCTCGCACTAAAGCTCTAAAGACATCTGGCGCAGCTCTAAACCAATCATCAACAGCTGAAGTTGGAATTTACGGAATGCTATTTTGTGTCAATGTCTATTGTCTATCACTAAACTGGGAGTGTCAATGACGGACCTAAAATATCAGACTGTTAATTGGTCCGGCGGAGCTCTAAACCATCATCTCGAGGAATGTAAACAAACTTTCTGTCTTTTCTCAAAATTGGTCTTTTCTCAATGGTATTTTTCATTGCAAATTCAATGAAGCTCTAGGTCATTCGTGTGCTTGATTACTACTTGATTCTATTATATATTATATCAATCTATAGCTCTATTTCCCGGTAATCTGTTCTGTCCTACCTTTAGAGCTTTAGCTCATACCCTACTTTTTTTGATGAATACCAGTCTCGGTCCGGAATCCATGTACCTCTGAACATTCGAATCGAATGTTAAACACGTTCAAACACAAACGTAATTACCAAAACCGATCAAAATGGCGCTCGAAAATCTTTGTGCGTGCATGTGCGTGTAACTGTAACAATCCTCGTTACCATGGTAACTATGCAACCTTTTGCTTTTTACCTAATAAAGACATTCTACATACAGAAATAATTCTTTGAATTATAGTATTGATTATACGTCATAAATCATTTAATACATCATTTAGGTCATCATTTAGTACATGTTAGTCATTATTTGAGAGTCTCTCATATTTAAAATTATCATATTAATCTGGTATTAATGGTATAATATCCTTCGTCCACAGTGGCCGAGTGGGGGAGCCTATTATTCACGAGACTAAAACCTCCAACTGTAGTTTGTACAGTTACAACGTGTACAGCACCTCTACACACAGCTCCTTCTCCACATTATTCCTTCTTCTTCTTCTTCATGTATTTAGACTACCAAGCAAGCACCATCTAATCTACATATTAAGTGCAACTCATCAGTCACGTACTTGTCATACATGAAAAACACACTATTGGAGTAAAGCATGTACTATATTCTGTTCAGGAGGAACTGTATATTATGTACTACAGGGTATTGATGAAGACCCTGACTGAACTCGTTACTGGATTATACCAGGCGAGATAGGCTCATACCAGAATCATACCGGGCGAGATAAGATCGCTTGTGAGGACGTTAACAGACGACTTGTGGGACTGCTGCACAAGAGGGGTAAATTGTAAAGAAGTAAAGCTGGTGAAGGGTGTGTTTACTATATATTATAGTAAACACTATATATACACATTACACAAATCCCAGTATTCCCGACTGTACGTCCATACTCCATAAGATATAATAAAAAATAAAAACTAGAACTTTAATGTAAACTTACCAGTAATGCCGGGAACTACCAAGACAATAGGTTTGTCCAGGTCGTCCGGTCCTTTGTTGATGAGCCAGTCTAGGGCAAACTGTCCTCCATCAGGAGTTGTTATGTACTCCCTGAAAAGTGACGTTATGTAGTCCTAATATCTCTTGAGGAAATGAAAAGTACTTGGTATATCGAGGTACCCGGTACATAAAGGTTTGACTGTCATGTGTGTGGGACTTCAAACACAAGGATATTCCTTCCCTAATTGTCAACCGTAATTACAACCTCTGCAGTCTGCAATGTAGTGTTGATTATGTGCCTAACTAGATTAACCAGGCAGATATCCTTGCTCTGCGACTGGTTAAATGGTTAAATGAAGTACTGTAACGGAGTGCTTTATGAAGACCAGATTTAGATTTAATGAAATAATATATAATATAAACCACATAACAGATTCAATATTTATATTCTTACTTTGACGGCTAGGGCCCTGGCTTTGTCGCTATGTTTTATGTTAATACGTGATAATATAATAATGGTAATATAATATACTATGGTAATATAATAATCATAATAACATAATCTGATGGACCAAATGTATGTTTATTATCTTACCGTTATTGTATCCTTTAAATGGCTACTGCATAGATACTTTATAATCTAATTTGCCCTCTTATAATTAAGTGGCTCATTAAAATTGTAAATAACAATGTATCATTTTTTCGTCTCATTGCTTCCTCAATTTCATTGAAATTGTTAAAACATTTATTAAGCGTTTAAAACCCATAGTACCAGGAGGTGACTAGGTTATTACTCTCTCTCTCTCTCTCTCTCTCTCTCTCTCTAGGTTATTACATGCTTACTTACAAATCTATCTCATGAAATAACTTGTATTATAAGTTTAGATCTGAATAATGGTGGGGGTGAACTATATCTTCACGTGGTTATTAAACCAACTTCCATTATCCAATCAAAACACAGAATGATTTCTTGTTTTCTGCTAGATAGGCGTCTTCCATTAAATATAGTTCTTACTAAGGTAGTTAATAGTTCTAATAAGGTAGTTAATCAGGTAGTCTCTCTGTATCTCATGTTATTTTAGCTCCTCGATACTAACTGTTATAACTCGAGTCCCAATTAAGTGATTTACAGCCCTAGGACTTTTTAGAGAATGTCATGCTCTATTGATTAAACTTTGGAGAACAATGATAACAGCTCTAAATGATAATGCCACTAACATCGACCAAGGTCGCGTCAGAGGACAGGAACCAGTATTATAGTAGAGTTGCTATTTTATCCAATTGGAGAGTTCTTAAGTTCTTACAGTCCTCCGTTTGTCGGTATGCTCGTGTTTATTCATTAACTCATTCATTGAGAGTGGGGAGGAAAGGGACATCAACCAGTATTGTTTCCTATTACCGAGTCCCAATATTGTGATGTCACTTCACACTTGAGTCTTGAGAGATTGGAACAATTAAATAGTGGAATGGAGTGGAATGTGGTGACGGATCTTGATGCTGCCGTTAACAATTATCGGAATGTAACAAACATGTGTACATTCCTGGCACTGCAACATATTGATAGAATGTGGAAATTGTTTATTGTTGGTTCTGTTTGAAAGTGGAGCTGGCAACACATTTTAAAGTTTTAACAATAATTGCTGCGGGAATAAAGCGATATCAGAATAACTGAGAGTATGACACTTTATATTTAAGGCTTCTTTTATTTGTACACAACATTGCATCGAACTTTACTTTTCTTCTTTACCAAATGTCTCATCATAATATGTACTCAGAATGCCTCACTTTAGATTGAGGAATTTCACCTCGTTCGATACCTTCTTCTTTGAGGCCAAACAAATGAAGCTTGAGATCTTCCTTATTATTCACATAAAGAGAGCATATTGTGATAGAGAGATCTAATATTTGATCCATCCTTAAAATGGCGACAAGTGGCGAGTAAATATCTTATATTCTACAATTAGTGGCGGGTCAAATTCAGTATCTCGAGCTCCACAAAGAGAATCCCCTGACTCCCTGACCACCAGTCGGTTGTGCCGAACCCTAAGTAGTAGGGAGTATTATACCCTCTAACATATCATTAGACTGCACTGGGATGAATAATAAGCCACAATCTAAACCTCTGTGAGGATACCAGGCAAGGTCACATCCGAGAAGTCATTAGTAGCTGGTAAAACCGCCCTATTTCTAGTAATGGTGCAATTATATCAGATTATCGGGTGGGACGAGTAACCTTTAGTCTAAAAATAGACACCAGTCAAGCTGTCATGATCTTTAGCGGCCCAAATCCATGTCATTGTTAGCAGGCTTTTGTCAAGAAGGAGATTTGGTCGTTTCCTTTGTATCTGCTTGGATATCTGGTGCTCACGTCGGATTATATAAATATATGGTGCTAACTGCTAGACCTCTTATCATTCAGTATCGCTTCAGGGCATCAGGGTTACCTGTGCTCTAATTTAAAAAGTATTATATTTGAACCCCCGGGTAAATCAACTCCTCTTCGTTTTCGATCACTCGCTTAATCGATCCAAAAATCTAGAAAGAGGAGGGTTATATAATTGATAATAAACTTAGTAAGTTGCTTACTTTAGTATTTTATTTATGTCCCGTTTGTACGTGTTATTGAGCAGCAACAGATTATGGTGTGTTTGCTGTTAGTTCAATAGTAGACAAATAAACGTGTGGGACGTTTAACCAATTACCCCCGGCCCCCACCCCCCCCCCCCCCCCCCCAATTTTCCACAATTCGGGTTTGTGAGCTTTTAACATGACTTTAATTAATTGGTCTTTAATTGGTTCCTCTTTTTTCAAAGTATGTTGGGCGTGCGATAAGATAACGGTAATTTGGTAATTCAGCTAAAACAACCGCTCAATACAATTTGCTGGCCTGTAAACAAGCTGGGTCACAATGTAATTATCATAATCATATCATTATGGATTATTATTATTATGTAGATTTGGTGTTGAGCAGGCCGGCCCAGTTATAACGTGACACCTGATAATGCTAACATGATCATCAGTACAAGAGACATTTGTTTAGCAATGGAATCTATTTTAGAGCGACATTTTTTGAGCCATGCCGCTAGCATAGTGTTCTATTTATAGCATAAGGTTCTATTTATAGAGAGAGGCCCCTAATAAATGAGGAAGTGATTAAGTGATTAAGTGATTAAGGAACAACCACCCACCCACACACATCAGCTAAAAGTAGTATTAGTAGCCAGTTCAGATTAAAGCTCAAGTTACACAGAAAGCACCATATTATTAAATAATGATGATCCTTAATTCCTAATTATGTCTGGCTTGGAATATATAATCATGTACAGTAAGGGCCGTTAGTACGCACTAGTAACTTCCAAGTTATTACCAAGTTATTATCAAGTTATTACCAAGATATTACCAAGTTATTACCAAGTCATTATACCAAGTTATTACCAAGTTATTACCAAGTTATTACCAAGTTATTACCAAGTTATTACCAAGTTATTACCAAGTTATTACCAAGTTATTACCAAGTTATTACCAAGTTATTACCAAGTTATTATACCAAGTTATTACCAAGTTATTACCAAGTTATTACCAAGTTATTACCAAGTTATTACCAAGTTATTACCAAGTTATTACCAAGCAATTGCCCTCGCCTGTGCAATTAACTAATTAACTAAAATATAAAGTTTAAATGTCATGTTTATATATACACACATTGACGTTATTTTATTGAATTGAAAGATGTTTAAAAATCCTATTTCATTTAATTACTGATTATAAATTAAATACGAGCAGAATTTATACCGTCTTATGAGTTATGAGAGTATTTATTGGCACACCTTTCATGGGTGACATAAAAAGTTCAGAATCTTGTCAATCTTGAGTAATGGTTCTGATTTAATGATCAAATCCGTCCAAAGACAGATATTATTTATAAGTTTATAGTCACCTGACAGATAACTGACAATGTGCAATAACTACATTATTTTGGAGAGTTTATAATGACTGAACTTGTTGTCGCAGATCTTAAATATTTTCAGCAGGAAATTGGATTTTCGGAAACCGCTATTTGAACCGTTTGCGTACATCAAAGCTGTAACACCGGTTTTAATCACATTCCTCATGCGGCAAACTCCACACCTTATCTAACCACCCAGTCAGTAAGTTACGTCATCACGTGACGTCATCACGTGACAGAGTTACCAAGTCTACTATAATTCACGACAGGCCCCTTTTTAATGATAATAACCACCAGTTTAGTGGGACTAGCCTGTAGTTTAGTGTTGTGACGGACTACTTGCATGAGGGGGCTTAGACAACACAGTCATAACACCAGCCAGGACCTCCGGCTCATAATAGCAGATCTTTGTTCTCTCTCTCCTAAATTTAGACTATTGTTATCATTGACCCGGATAATCTGTCGGATCAATGATCCAACAAGCAGCCTGGCTCTGGAAATGACTATTATCTCTATTTCTCATGTAATAATGTGGCGGATGCAGCGCGAATAAAAATGTTATATTGAGTATTATCATTGTGACACTGTTACATACAATTTGACCAAACCATGAAGCCAGATAATGATGAGCCAGGCTTTTTGTGTTTGGTAGATACACGTTAAGAAACTATTACATCATCTTTTCAAGATCATAATCGTATTTTAGTAGATTTTATTATCATTCAATAGTGGATCATATTCCTCAGAATCATGGTTCTGGTAGCTTGTGAATGCAATGATAAAGGCTAATGAGATATTCACGAGTTGAACTCACATTTACACATTAATGAAATTGTCAAAACTTTCAACTTTTTACAACAATGAAATAGCTCCATAACCATGTTCCTTATCTTTAGTGTTAGAGGTGGTGATATTGGATGAAATTATTGGTATTATTTCACAGTTCACATCTGTTTACAAAAGCTCTAAGAATCTGTTGATTAAACTGTGTTATTTGTCTGATTGTGGAAAATAAGGTATGATTGCTGTGACCACTGACTAATATTAGAATACTTTCTAACATGGTGAAATGATTGGATCCTCAGAGGTTGCTCAGACTTTTACTAAGAAACATTTTATGAGAGCTATGTGTAGTGTATGGATATATCGGATGAAGTGTCGTTGTTAATAATATAATAATTAGTAATATAATTATAGACCTTTGTCAATACGTCAATAGAAAGGTTGGTCGACAGATTTAATTTTCTTATCATTAGCTTCCACCACAGGTAGGTAGGGTCTACTTGGAGACAGGCCTCTTAATTAGGACCTCATGTTTGGTGACTAACAGAAACATCTTTAGGGTCAGGCATTTGTAACTTCTTTCATAAGTTTCTGTCATTGTTGGAGGTTATCTTAATAAGATATTATCTATCAGCTGTTCATTAACTATTCAGAAACAATAACTATTCCAACCACAGGTGTTTATTGTACAGATGTACTGAAAAGCCTGGAAAGTCTAATTACAGAATATTATTATCTGCAGACTATGCCGGTTTAACAAAGCTTTCTTTTAAATGAATCGTCACAAATCAAAAATTATATGTATCAAGTAACCAGCACCTCAGCACCTCAGCACCTCAGCACCTGCTTATTAGAGTTAAAATAGAAAAGGTCCAGTTCCTGAACCTGTCTATTCCTAGCCCAACTCTAGACAAAACCACACTTCTCAACATTTGTCCCTTAGTTTTCTAAACTCCTGTGATAAGACTTATGACCGGTAATTTGTTGGTAAAGACTCTAATTAATTTAACGAACAACACTTTTCTCTGTGAGGGCAAACTGTTCTCACAGCCCTCTAGCTCTCTAGATAAAACAGTCCTCTAACCATATCCTTGTCAATTGAATTTAATGTTTTTATTTGTTCGTTCTTACTATTTTGTGACCAACAGTCCACAGTTAATATTTTTGTAACTTTAATCAATTGAAGTTTAAATATAGGGTACCTTTTAGCGAGGTCAATTACAACCATTCAATTTAAAACTTTCAAAGCTCTCTTTTGATAGTCTGACTAGACTTCTTACATTTCGATGTTTGTTACATTTTATTAAGCTATTTTTGTGGTCGTTATTTTACCTAATACCCACCTAATTTTCCAAGCTTTGAGAAAGAAGATTATTGCACAAAATATCTTAAACTGTACAGTATACTTTTAATAAAATGACTGTATTTACTGTAAATCTAACAGTAATGAGATTGCGTTTGACGCATCTAATCACCCGATAAACTGAACTGAACTTTCTCTCTCTCTCTCTCTCTCTCCAGGAACCAACCGGGATCATGATTTCAATACCGGCCCCCGCGCCGGCCAAATCTTGATCCCGGTCGTTTACTGACTCTCTCTCTCTCTCTCCCTAGGTTTACTGACTCTCTCTCTCACAATTTAATTCGCTCTCCTGGACTCACCCTCTCTCAAACTAATTGGGTCTCCTGAACTATCCTTGGCTCGGTCTCCTGAGTTTGAATGTTTGAGTTGTACCGGAAGTAATTACTACTGGTGTACTGCTTTAATGTGTTTACCACACGGCGAGAGTGTGTGTCATACCTGGAGGGAGAGAGAGAGAGAGAGCTGCCTTACTGGTGTATTTTACTGGTGTATTTTACTGGTGTACATGACTGGTATTTGACAGTGCTGAAAATACGAGAATATGATTGGAGGGGAGTTGTGACTGGTGTTGAAATACATTTGGCAGAGAATATTTAACTGAATGTAAACACGTGGCTGGAACGAATGCGGTACATTGCCAGCGGTTACTAGTCACTGTATTTGGAAATGACATAATAGTATTAGGTTCCTCCAAAACTGAAAGAGTGAGAACAATTTGTTTAAAAAATAGTTTTGTAAAAGTTACTGGAACCCAGCTAAATGCTTGTCAATATTCCAAAACACCCAGGAGTTCCGTGTCATAACTTCTACACATCTCCGATGTATTTGCACTTAAATCCCGCCCAAACTACTCCAGCTGCAACTGAGTGTGTTTAGTAAATTTGACTGTACACAATGTTTATTAGTAGATTGCCTCCCCACAAACACACACACTGTCTCTCTCCTACGTCTAGACTTTAGAGAGAATGATCTTCGTAAGTTTCAACAACTCTGCATAATATTAGGTGGTCACATACGAGGACGTCAATCTGACCTTACTACGTCAATAATAAATGTATCGGATATTTTATAAACTTATGCAATGCATGCATCCGAAATCAGTCCAGCAGTTCAGATGTTCGAGTGAATTCGAATGCAAACTTTACACTTTTTCTGACAACTATGACGTGTTTTCAGTGAAACTCGAGCGACACAGTTGTTCAACAAATGAAAATATTCCCGTGAATGAAACGGTCAGGTGAAAATTTCCGACGGTCCGGTTTTAATAATGTCCGGGATTTATTACATTGTCCGGAGATCGGTATTTATTTTAAAAACTGGGCACACCGCACTCTACAGTGCTAGTTGCACGAGCATAACTAAACATCACCTCAAGTGGATGAACACTGCACACTGCACACTGCACAGTGCACTAGAAACATGCTCCTACACATTACACATATAATGTGTAATGTAATGTGTATTGTGTAATAATACACAATTCAAACATACTCTAAAACTGAAACACCTTTCAATTACAGCTTCCCACACAGAACATGCTGGTGACATTGTTATTAGTGTCATGTCAGTTAGCTTTACCGTTTTACAATTTATAACCATTTATTGTTTACATCATTGCGAAACTTAGGTAGCTCACCACATTTTCCCCTATTCCCAAATCAGAATATTCAAGATTTCTTGGGATATTTTCGGGTATATTTATTTTACACAAGATTGGAAATTCTTTCTTAATTAGGTTATTTAGTTCACAGGAATGAAATATCTCTCTTTAAATGTTCCCTATTGTGGATTTATGCAGGCTAAGTGGTGAATTAACCCAGCGTGATTAAGGGGGGGTTCACCCTGATTTTTTTGTAAAACTTGGTTTCGAGATAGCAGTTGACCAACAAACTAGGACCAGTGACCAAACTTTTGAGGGGGTCCCGGACCCCAACCGCCAAACGGTGCCCGCGGGGCAGCCACGCCCATATTTGGTCCATATCAGGCCCAATTTAGCCAAATACCCTGAACATGCCCAAAACCCAGATTTTAGGTGCTTTACTTGTAGCTAGTGGTCCCCTGGACTCGTATATGAAGTTTCATCAAGATTGGTCAAAAAATGACTGAGTTATGAGCTAAAAACTATATGCCCATATTTGGGCATACGCACTAAATTTGATCGATTTTGGCCCATGAATTGGTCAAATATCAATATTTGTGAATGAAACTAACTTTATATGAAAGGTAAGCCTAAACTACACATTTTCTATGATTATCAGCTCAATATCTACCTAACTGTGGCTTCTGTGTTCAAATAATCGCAAAAAATGAACAAAATCGCCCATATCTCAGTTCGCGATATTTGCAAAACTGACTTCGCACAAAACAATAGAACTCAATAGGGTTTCAATATTTTTTCATGAAATTTTCAGAATCAACGTAGAATTGTCTCATGACCTTAAGTTTTGGTACAGAATTTTGAGTTAGGCCTTTAAAAAAATTTGGCGGCCAAATTCTAAAATTTGCCGGGCGTTTTTCAGAATTTGGCCGCCAAATTTTTTTAAAGGCCTAACTCAAAATTCTGTACCAAAACTTAAGGCTTTAAGGTCATGAGACAATTCTACGTTGATTCTGAAAATTTCATGAAAAAATATTGAAACCCTATTGAGTTCTATTGTTTTGAGCGAAGTCAGTTTTGCAAATATCGCGAACTGAGATATGGGCGATTTTGTTCATTTTTTGCGATTATTTGAACACAGAAGCCACAGTTAGGTAGATATTGAGCTGATAATCATAGAGAATGTGTAGTTTAGGCTTACCTTTCATATAAAGTTAGTTTCATTCACAAATATTGATAATTTACCAATTCATGGGCCAAAATCGATCAAATTTAGTGCGTATGCCCAAATATGGGCATATAGTTTTTAGCTCATAACTCAGTCATTTTTTGACCAATCTTGATGAAACTTCATATACGAGTCCAGGGGACCACTAGCTACAAGTAAAGCACCTAAAATCTGGGTTTTGGGCATGTTCAGGGTATTTGGCTAAATTGGGCCTGATATGGACCAAATATGGGCGTGGCTGCCCCGCGGGCACCGTTTGGCGGTTGGGGTCCGGGACCCCCTCAAAAGGTTGGTCACTGGTCCTAGTTTGTTGGTCAACTGCTATCTCGAAACAAAGTTTTACAAAAAAATCAGGGTGAACCCCCCCTTAATATAATTGTAATTATGCGGATTGTGGGCTTGTGGAGGAGACATGGGAACTGTTCTACTCCCTCCACAACGGCCCCTTCCCCCAACTCCTCCCACACCCCCAGCTCCCACACCCCCAGCTACCACACCCCCCACACCCCCAGCTCCCACACCCCCCCCACACCCCCAGCTCCCACACCCCCAGCCCCCACACCCCCAGCTCCCACACCCCCGGCTCCCACACCCCCAGCTCCCACACCCCCGGCTCCCACACCCCCTTCCCTCACAACTGCTATGACGTATCGTATTAAAGCAGCAGTGTGTGATTGGAAATAATTTCATAAATATATTTCATTGTTTTCGACATTCGTTTCAACTGTAGATAGTTTAGGAAAATTTAACAAGGTAATTGATCGTCTAATTGAAAAGAAAGGAAAGTTGGTACCGCAGCTGCAATTACCTTTGTCGACCTAATTAAAAATGTGAGATACAATAAGTCACCATTTTATTGCTGCCATTTTGCTGGTTTTTTAAAAACTTTTAAAAACGTTGTTATTAAAACCCTGTTTGTCTCACTTTCTTACCTTTCGAGTCTCAGTTTGGGTACGTGTTGAAAGAGAACCCTGAATACAGTGTGAAGATGTGGACCTAAACACCACGGTGTAGGATAGTAGGTGTCAGTCAGCACCGTGCTACACTCTTCTAGTATCTGCTTCAGTTTACCTTGTCCTAACAGTTCAGGGTTTTTGGAGGACTGAAATAGGAATTAGGGCGGTTAGAGCATTATGTTGTTTTATTATTACTCACTTATTTTACTGTTCTTTGAGTAAAACAAATAGAAACATACGATGAATGAAAGTCTAGGATATTATAATTTCATGACTATTATAAGTATCAGGAAAAGCAAATCAAGAATTATATTGACAAACCTTAACAAAGTGATATAGAATGTGGCCCACAACAAACATAATGAGAGAGCGAAGCCTCACTATCTGGCTGGGGAACATATAAGCGGAAATGCCCAGCATAGCAGTTGCCCCCAGTTGTGCTATATTGGCCATCTCCTATAACAGTTTTAGGGTTATTGTTATTACTTATTTAAGATTGGGTGTAAAAATCAAGCTTAATACAATATAGCTTTTATCATAAAATTCGGTTTTTAAAATTTCACATCAGAATCAGAAATTGTTAGTAGCTGAGAAGATTATGAGCACAATTATTGAGAATATTATCATTCTAACTAAACCTTCACCCTCATTTCTAGAAGTAAGCATGGTCAAACTCAACTTTGTGGACACAGCAAACATCACCAGGATAGATGACATCAACGACTACCTCCAGTTTCCAGACTGGGCCTACATACTGATAATAATCTACCACGTTCCGATGCTGATCTGCGCGATGGGAGGAAACATCATTGTACTCTATGGGACATTGAAGTTTAACGCAATAAGCATGGATAAGGTGTCACTCATCTTTCTGGAACATCTGGCATTTGTAGACTTCTTCATAGCCTTCTTGTCTGGCACGACCATATTGATAACAACTATAACCAAGAAGTGGGTCCTTGGGGAGGCGATGTGCTTTATTCAGGGAATTATCGGTTACATTCCGACATTCTGTGAGCTATTAACATTGGTCACCATCTCTGGATACAGGGTTTTTGTGCTGCTCAAACCATTTGAAGCTCAAAACTTGGGAAAGAAACATGGAAAGATAATCATGGGAATCATCTGGGGATTCTCCATTATCTTTGTAGTGAATGCAGTCTTCATCATGGGACAATATACATTTTTCGATCCCTATATATTGGGATGTAACACCTCAGGTTTGTCAGCAGAACCAGGACAGCTAGCTTATACCATTACCTGTGTGACACTTTTTGGAGGTCTCCCAGTTTTGCTCATTGTTGTCAGTAACGTTGTTATTCTCTACATTGCATCAAAGTACGTACGAAAAGCAGGTAAAAGGGGAGCAATTAGCAAGAATGCAATTATAACTGTGTCTGCAGTTTCATGGGTATTTGTAATTTCTGTCACACCTCTATGTCTGAGAGCAATGCTTCAAGTTTTGCAGGTTAAAATGCCAACATGGTTCTACATCATGCAAACAGAATCATACTATCTGAATATTGCATGCAATCCCATAATCTATACTGTTACCAATGCACGGTTCAAAAAATTCATAACCGGTCTTGTTTACTCTTTGCTAGGACTGGAACAGCCAGCACAAATGAACTCCATAGTGTCACAAGTGCAGCAAATGAACAGCACAAGACTGCAATCGATAAGAAGAGCTAATGCTGTGAACCCAATGACAATTCAAAATGTAGCTTTCAGAGCAATGGCAATGGAAACATGTAAAGAGGTGAAGGAGTCTAGTTGATGTGCTGATCAGCGATCATAGATAGTATAATCTAAGTGTGCACATTTAAAGTATCTGTAAATTAGTTTTAACTTTGGCTGTAATAGCCTTTATAAACAGTATTAACTTTCTAAAAGTTAAAACTTTATTAATATTATCATTGTAAGCATATAATATGCTATGTAATTCGATTTAAATTTTTTGCAGCCAGTGTCGACACTTGTTGAAAACAAATCACTGCTAATTTGATTTTTCAATCAATTGTTTGATGGTTAACCACTTAGATTTTTAGATGGATCCTAAAAGTAATCAATATATTATACTACAAGAAAACTTTAGCAGATTTCAAAACCTTTACAAAATTTTTACTCAGGATGTAGTCTGGTCCACTTAAATTGTCTATCAGATTGGGCTCTTACTAATTCTCACCCAAAAATTATCACATGACTTTGGTTTTTATGGTTTTGCAGCCGAACAAAACGGTTTTACATAAACTCTAATCCCAACCCTAACCATAACCCCGAATCTATCCATAACCCTAACCACAATTCAACCCTAACCCTAACCCAAGCCCTAAACAATCGAATTCGTGTTTAACAGTATATGGACTAACCATAGTATAGAGTAGCCTAGTGTGTCTTGAATTTGTCCTACAACTTTTAAACGGTTCTTGGTTCCAAAATTTATATCGCTGATATTCGCTTCTTGGCCGATGCATGATCATGTAATTTTTTTCCCTACTCTTGCCGAAGGCAAAAAGATCGTAGGGAATAAGTAATCGGGTTTGGATATATGAGGTGGCCCGACGGTCCTACGATGATGACAAAAGTCTGCTCCTTCGCAATATAGACCACTCCCCTATAATTATGTGTATTGGAAGCGTCTGTTATGCTGCGCGCGACGCTAGCCATGTGTCAATTAATTACAGTGACGTTCCTCCTTCGCAAAGTTATTTTCCGCAATTTTCTGGATTCATTTATTGTTGATGCGCGCGGCGCTTCATTGGTCAAATAAATCGTCAATTTTTACCATGCGCGAATCCCACTCATTTATTAAAAACATAATACATAAATATGTTGCACTTTTTTCCAGTCACACTTTTCACTCGAAAGAGTTAATGGTACATAATACAAGTACATCGTAGGGAAAATTGATCGTGCGTGGTTTAACCGCGGCGAAATTCTTGTTGTAATACAATCTGTAACGGAACCATTTTCCCATTAATTAAGATCCTCCATGGTTAGTAGGAGTGCAGCGAATTAATTTTATTACAATTACGTGAGGCATCAGTTACAGGATGGGATTTCTCCTAAAATTGCTTGGAATTTGCCCTAATTAGATTCCAGTCAGGGCCGGTTCAGGGAGCCCAGTCATTATTCTAATTTGATCATCCAATCCAGCCAACATTCGAATTTTTTGAGTAATGGTAACAAAATGGTGTAATAGTGTAACTGATTCAATTATAGATACACTGGATCGTTGCCTTTCTCTCTCTTTCCACCTTAGAGCACAGAGGTCAAGGAAATATAACATGAAAAAAAGTAGAACACGAAATGAAAGTATTGAGTAAAATAAGAGTAGTACTAATGTATATATTGTAAACAGTAATAGTACTTAATGTACGTAAGTTAAGTCGTGATAAAGGAATGTTAATGTTATGTTGTAATAATATATAATATACCATAATCAATGTAGAACTCATAGTTGGATAACAATGCGATTAAAATAAACATGCTGCTAAGATATCATAGTAGGCATACAAATACGATTCGTTTATTGGCCCAATTCCTGTACACGTCACACATCAAATGTTTCTTGTTACATTATGCTAGTCCAAATTTGTGGGCTTAGAGAGCCCGTTTATTTGGGTTCTCTTTGCCCCACTAGTAAAGCCTTTCATGAAAATGTCTCGTTTACAGTCGCCGCACCTTCTTCCAGTTTTCGAAGACATTTTTATGCCTAAAATGAGCGCTTAGCTCCATCAGATGGTTGTACTTAGTGCATCAGGCGCTACTCGCGAGAGCGTAAAAAATGGGGTCTGACCTAATAACTTAACAACCTGGAAGTCTGTACTCTGTAGACTTTAAAACCATCCTCTACCCCACTAAATGTGATGATTTTGACCATTTTTATGCCCAAGATGAGCGCTTAGCTCCCATCAGAAGCTGAGATATCTTGTGATAAGTACATTAATTGCGACTCGCGAGAGTGTAAAATTAGGTTTTGACGCAATAACTCAACAACCTGAAGTCTATAAACTTTGAAACCTTGCTCTACCCCACTCAATGTGATGTTTCTGGCCATTTTCATGGCTAACATGAGCGCTTAACTCCCATCAGAAACTGAGATATCGTGTGAAATGTGATAAGTACATTAATTGGAACTCGCGAGAGCGTAAAATTACGTTTTGACCTAATAACTCAACAATCTGAAGTCTGTAGACTTTAAAACTATGCTTTACTATGTTTATGCCTAAGATGAGCGCTTAGCTCCCATCAGAAGCTGATATATCTTGTGATAAGTACATTAATTGCGACTCGTGAGAGCGTGATTGCGTAAAATTACGTTTTGACCTAAGATCTCAACAATCTGAAATCTGTAGACTTTAAAACTATACTCTACCCCAGTCAATGCGATGCTTCTGACCATCTTTCTGCCCAAGATGAGCGCTTAACTCCAATCAGAAGCTGAGAAATCCTGAAATAAGTGTGATAATTGTTACTCGCGAGACCGCAAAAGGGTGTGGTCATATAACTCATCAACCTTAAATGTGAGGACTTTGAAACCATGTTCTACCCCCCTAAATGTGATGATTCTCCTTTAATGTGATGATTCTCCTTATTTTCATACCAAAGTTGTTCTCCTTTCTCCAATCAGAAGTGGAGATATGTGGGTTTAGTGTTCATGAAAAGGGAGTGGTCAATTGCTCAAAACTGCCCCATATTCAGAAAGTCTACCTTGTTTCTAAGGGATCCCTTGAGTTGGTCCAGGTCTCAAATTCCGGGCAGAAGATGTTTCTACGGGAATATTCTCAGATCCATTACTATTGGCCGTACCACATACACGCACTCGCAGATATTTACTATTATCAACAACAATTTCAAAGTGGAACTGGACAGGTGGTCGTGGACTTTTTCAAGACACACTTGGCTAAATACTGTTAAATAGCCTGTCATGTGACCAAAACAGTTTTGTGCCTATAACTCTCCAGGGAAGAATTTTTACCCTACTCCATAGAGGGTGATAGGAATCAGCGACCAAAAATACACCGATTAAGAATACTTTCAGTTAAACAAAAATTCAGTTAAACAAAAATTCAATTTTATGCCATTTATTACAGAGTAAACCCACACCCACCTCAGATCCTACCCCCGACCTGGCTTCCCTCATACAGAATATCACTAAACAACTAGGAGAAGGCATGGAAGCCTCAGCCACATATCAGGTCACCTCTGTATTATCTAAATTTGACAATAAACGTGACATGACCACCGACAATTTGACTCCACAACAACGTACCGCTCTTAAATCTTTAAAATCTAAGAAATCTGAATTGAAATTTCTTCCTGCTGATAAGGGCAACGCCACTGTTGTACTGACTCACGATCAATACATAACCAAAGTTACCGACCACTTATCCTCAGGTAGTTACACCCTCTTAACGAAAGACCCCACTCAATCCGTTACCACTAAACTA